GCGCACGACATCTCGACTCCAGTCGACCTCCAGCGACGCGGCTGCTGCTGGAGTCTCCAGACTGGAGACCGCCAGCAGTGAGAACGTACTCGTCGCGCGCGTACGGTCGTACGGAGGATGGCTTGCCCGGGGGCACCATCGGGCGGGGGCCCTCACCGGAGGAGAGACCTACGGAGAGGGCCGAGGATTGCGGACACAATGACGAACGTATTCCTCGTGACACACATGGAGGAGAGGGGAGCAGCGGGGCCCACCACCTCCTCCGGCAGCCCCGGGGCCCGCGTTCGTTACCCCCGGGACGCTGCTCGCCGGCGTTGTCCGCCCCGGCGGCGACTCCAGTGGCTTCGTCCTATTTTCGCCAACAGAATGGAAAAGGATTGGAATGGAGGGGGGGGGGGCAATGGCAGGGAAGGCTCGGCGACGCTGAGGAGGGAGAAAGGGAAGGGTCCAGCAGCTCCTTGGCAGTGGCCGCGGTGGCACTGGGGCTGCATTGAGCGGACGGCGCCGCGGAGGGAAGGACAGCATCGCGGCCGCAGCCCGCCAGTCGGGTCCTCTCCGACTTCAACGAGTATTACCGCCTGCTCCTTTCGTCTTTCAGGAACGAAATCACCATGGCTTCCATCATCAACGCGACAACCAGCATGCTGTCTGACGGCTACAACTTTTACCTCTGGACCCTGTCGATAGCTGGTGAGTGCAAATGAATCGGGCAGAGCGGCGAGCGGCTGGTGGTGACTGAGGGTGAGGATTGGCGTTAATACTGTGAATCCTAATCTTGGGTGTAAAACACATCACGCCCAGTATGTGAAATGGCATGTGAATTTGGAGTACATGCAGTGTAATGTACATCAAACGCTGTCCTCCCACATCTCAGTGAAATCAAAATAATTGATGCGATTTAGAATCAATATGAACACATCAGAAATCAGAAATGTGTCCCGATATTCTTATCGGCGTGCTATTCCTTTGATGAATAACAATTTCTCTTCGTGAGACCTCTGTGGAGAATTACTATATAAACATTTTCAGACCACGCAAATTTTCGTTAAGGGACTAAAATCGTAAATAGCAAAGAGCATTTGTAAAGCCACTATTTCACTGACACCTCTCAAAGGGCATTCGATAGCACCTTTGTTTTTCCAGGGCAACAGATCCTCTTTTACGAATGATTTAAACTCCTGTGCCTTACCATGCCCGTGCCTCGCCGTTGCAGACAAACGCACCCGCGGCTGGCTCATGGTGGACTCCCCCGTGCCGACGCTCGGCTACACCGTGCTGTACCTCGTCATGGTGCTTGTGGGGCCGCGGCTCATGAGGGACCGTCAGCCGTTCAACCTCAAGAAGTGTATGATCGCCCACAACCTCATGATGACGGCGCTAAACGGTTACATCGCCGTAGAGGTAGGTGCTGGTGTAGGTTGGGCTGCCTACCTCCGAGGCGCCCCGGGCCTTCCCCGTACATGTAAACGAGCGAAAATAATTTACTGTTTTCGTTTTGCCCACATTTCAGTTACTCGTAGCATCGACACGGATGAAATACAGCTACATTTGCCAACCTGTCACCTTCATTAACCACAAAGAGGAGCTGAGGGCAAGTAAACCATGTAATTAACATCGACATATATCTCCCAATGGGGATATCAACTTCATGACTCTTCTGTCCGATAGATAGCGAATGCCGTGTGGTGGTACTACTTCTCCAAACTCCTTGAATTCGGCGACACACTGTTTTTTATTCTAAGGAAAAAGGACAAACAGCTCACTTTCCTCCATGTTTATCACCATTCAACCATGTTCTCGTTTTGGTGGATTGGTATCAAATGGGTACCAAGTGGCTCAAGTAAGTAAAACGCGACGAAAATAATTTGGAATGTGGACTCAGCCAGGAATAGTGTATATTGTGCTATATCAAATAGATTTAAATCGTCACACTATTTCTGGCTGTGTATCAAATGATACTCCACGTGGTCCGATTAGGGCTTCCCCTGTTAAGGAGAAAATAAATAATAGGCTTGTATTGATTCACGTTTTTCAGCTTTCCTCCCAGCAATGGTTAACAGCTTCATCCACGTGTTACTCTATTCCTACTATGGCTTGGCTGCCATGGGGCCGAGAGTAGCCCAGTACCTGTGGTGGAAAAAATATCTTACAATTTTACAATTGGTATGTGTAAAGCCTGCTTTTTTGGATATAAAAAAATTGTCCTCTTACTTTGGAGTCTCAAAAATTGCTTTCAATTCTTTAGATCCAGTTTACGGGCGCGCTTATTTTAGGTGTCAATGCAATCCGCTCTGAGTGCGATTTTCCTATGTGGATGAAGTACACTCTTGTTGTGTACATGGTGTCTTTCATTGTGCTCTTTGGCAATTTCTATGCAAAGGCATACATCAGAAAGGTAAGGGCAGACTCACTCACTGCATTTTATAAAATTTTGGTAAATTCAGTAAGAAATACCAGAAACACAGATTGGCAAAATTGTACCGAAGTGAGGTCATTATCAAAATTTGATCATCTTGAGGGCCTGCTTTGATGTCAAAGTGACTATCACATGATGACATCGAAGCAGACCTTCAAGATGGCAAAGTTTGACATTGCCATTCATCTTGACAAATTTATTTTCAGATTACTGATTGAATTTAATAATTTTTATAATTTTGTCTCTTAGGGAAAACGGACATTTTATGGAGAGCCCAACATGGCTTTGTGCCGGCCATCATATGACCTGGACCAAACAGATAAAAAAGATGAAAATGGTTATCACATGAAAGAACAGTGAGGATGAAATGTCCCATATGAGCCTCAATCAATCATAAGAGAAGTTTGCAGCCATTTCAATTCTGCCTACCACCCAAATGTCTCAATAATACAGGAAGTTATGACACTACTGTGTTAAATGAACTGCACCATTAAGAACTATTACAAATTTTATCAGTTCACTTCTCTCTTCAGACATACATAATTAACTTCTACTCAGCACTTTAAAACAGACTGCCAGTTATAAATACGTATAGGCCACAGGATTACAATGTATGTCTACTCTCAATCAATATTGTTTTTCATTTAGAGAATAGAAATGATTCATGATTCACATATGATAGTGATAGGGCCTGTAATATAGGTCCTACAGAAAATCTGTGATTTCTAATAGGGAAAATTTGATTTTTTTAAAATACTCTGCTCAATGACGTAAATAACTATGCAATTCAGCAAATTAAAACCAACATTGAACATGCCATTTAACCAACAAAACTTCAAAAACTCACAGCCCTTCTCTTTGGAATTCTGTACCCTCCCATTACATGAGTACAATTGCTTAAGGAAAAGGACAGTACAAATCACAGATAAAATTATCAAATTGATTAAGCTGAGTGTATACTTGAATGATCGTGTATACAACACCTCATTTGATTCTTTTGTGCACAAAGAAATTAGAGGCCTAAAATACTGTAGCAGTATCTTATACGACTACTACAACAACTGTTAAACTCGGCAGAGACACTGAAATGATTGTTTGAGACAATAATTTGCCCAAATTGGGCTAATAGAACTATTCTTAATTAAAAACCAAGGCATGAGTCAGAATACTTGTAGATAAGGGAGAAATATTTCTCAAATATAGCTTCCATGAGAGAAAAACAAATAAGATAAGAAAATAAGAGGAAGTATGTTCAATACTTTACATATATCGAAAAAGTAAATGTAAGGCACACGAGCAATAATTACAAAATACTATGTATGTATTTATACCATATACATAAGTGATTAAGTCAAATGGATCAATAAAAAATATTTATACTTAAAATGAGTACTCCTAACTAATTAACCTATCAAATAATGAATCTGCAGTTGACACTGAGCCATGAACAGTTTTTTCATGATCTCTCAGATCAGCAAGTGAAAAGAAGGACAATCGGCACACTGGACATGTTTCAATTATTTCTTCATCAGATGACAAATCTTGATAGACATCATTACTAATTTTCCCTGGCGAAATAACTTCTACCTTGGGAACAGCTGGTTTGAGAGTATCAGTAGTAAAACTCTTCCCAGGAGGTTGTTGTGTTTCTTTCTTATAAGACGGCTCATTTAAAACTTCATTTTTAAAAGCATGTCTATTGGCCTAAAAAAAAAAATCACTTTTGTAAGTAAAACAAAAACTACGATTCATACCATTAAATTACAAGAATGTAACAACTTACATTATCAGGGTCCAAATGGGCATACTGGGGTGGGAATGGCTCAATTTTCACATAGCAATTAGCCATTCTTTCTTCTTCCCTGGGGTAAAGATTGACAATAATATTAGTTCAAGCTACATTAATAATCTCAGTATAGGTAACTTGTTGGCTACAGTTTGTAGACACAGGTTAATTAATTTAGATTGGAAATACTAACTTTATTCGTTCAATTTCCTCTTTCACCCAGTCTTTGTTGTAGGACAGGCTTAGGACAATGAGTGATTCGGGGGTATCTGGGAATGGAATTCTCTCAACCCACATCACCTGTAGAACAGAAACATTAATTAGGACACCTTTCTCCCCCCCTAAAACTCGAATAACTCAAGAAATAATAACAGACCTCATATCCAAGCCTCCTTGACTCATCAACGATTTCCTCCTCCATACAATTGTCAATTTCAACTAATGAAGCTTTTTTATGATTTTTGCTGGTGGTTTTTTTTTTATCTACATTTATTTCGTTTACTAAATCTTCACAAGCATTACTAAAGCCATTGCACCACGGTGTCTCAGGGGTATTCTTAAGTTGGTAAATATATTGCACCTTGTCCATCATTTCCCTCTCAAGTTCCTTGAGAGCGTCGTGAAATTTCAATTTCTTTCCCCATTTTTCCACAATTTGTGGCGAGTTAGGATGATCGTATGGAAAGAGAGCTGACTCACGCAAGTTTGAAGTTTGATGAGTTCCAAAGAAATATATATTGTAGCGTTTCTTCTCTTTCCCTCCGGTGATAACGCTTTCAATCTACAAGGGGGAAAATAGAAGTAAAAAGTAACTTGAATTACATAAGATTGGAGTAAAATAGATTAAGATCACAAAGATTACCTGGTCTATTTTAGCAGGCCATGGAGGATACCCTTTCAGCTTAGCAAAAACGAAGTCACCAACCTCCAGTTTGTGAATCCGGAGTTCTTCTGGAAGGAAAATAATGAAAGATTCATAGAGCTGACAGTTGAATGGTAGGTGCTTGACAATTCAATTCTGCACAGAACTTAGTCAAGTTCTCTTTCAAAAGTTGAAAAACGAAAATTGATTTTGGAGTAGCACAACTTACCAATTCTCTTCTCAGTCTCCATTATGACCTGAAAGAAGAAAACGATGAAGCGGTAAAGAGCTAAAATTGAACAATTGTTAACGACCAACTACACTTCCCAGGCCAAGACAATTGGCATTCCAGCCTCTCATACGAATTGAAGGTAAAAGCAATATCTGTTGCATGCAGTCGCATCTCTGCGCATTGATTGTGTTCGGAAATTTTGGAATTTTGAATTCAGATCACTGAAGACATTGATAATGACAATGTAAGTAGATAATCCAGAGTAATGACTACAACAACCAGAATTGATCAAGGGATACATGTAGAAATTAAGCAGAATGTTGTTGTTTAAGTATCACTACAACAAAGGACTCATAGTGGTTGTTAGTTGTAGTTGGCCAAGAATGAGGAAGAAAAAGTGAAAAAGTGAAGAGCTAACATAATAGTTATAAGAACTGTGAAGGACAGCAGCCTACTGATTATGTAGACGAAGGCATTCCGATTAAAACCACAAATCGACAATTTCATATGAAGTTAAACTAGTACTCAAACAAAACAGAGGTTATGCTACCCGACAACTTTCGCAACCCTTCAAATTGTTAAGAAATGTTTTTATATTAAAGGATAAACTAAATTAAATCAATGTTCGTATGATGAGAGAGTTTGAAACATTCTATGAAACTTGGTTGACGTGCTACAAGTTACTGAAGTCGAACGAACGGATATCAGTGAAAGGTGAAAGCCGGTTGGGATTGCAGGTATATACAAAACTCCCACGATTTGTTTGGAAACAATAACAAACAATAATAACAGTTTCGTATGCAAGAATGGTTATCAGACGCAAAGTTAAATAGTTTGAAGGCCGCTGTTGAACCCATAGGTATAGTTGATGAGCAATATTACCTCCGAACTGTGCACTACGTGCAGCTGCAGTTTGACGCACCCCTTCCCTTTCCTGCGCTGTCTCCGGCCGGGTTCCGGGGTTCGTGGTTGGTGATGTTTCGGGCGGTTCGGGTTGAAGAAGATCGACGGGTTGTTCGGAAACTTAAAATGCCTCTTGTCTGGGTGGATTGGACCTTGTGCTGTTCCAAGTACCAGTTGAGGAACAATTTCATCCATACCCATGTGAATTTGTTTGAATAAAAACTATTAATCACGAAACCACGCGAACCGTTCGTCCCCGGGCAAAAAATTAAGAAGTCGCCGCGTGATTTTTTTGTTGTGGTTGTACATAACTCAGAGGAAAACGTTTGTTCTTAGAATGACATCACTGTGATCTCTTTATCACTTACGAGGACAGGATTTAGACACTTGTCACCTATAAAACCTCGTAAAGTCAGGTGTCTTCGTGAACAACGTTCCTACGTAGAGTAGAATAAATTCAAGCCGTTTCAAAGATACTTTGTTTTCTCCTAGAAATTTTATCTTTAATGGGAATTATTATCAATATATGTTTGTACAAAAACTGAGCATTAAAGAGCATAACTCAAATAACATAATTGCTATGAAAATGTGTACCCCTTTTATTCTCGCAACAAACTAGGGGAAAGCCAAGCCATTGGCAACTTTTTACTACTACGATTTTCAAAAGCTCATAAGCTGAATTACAGATATATGTCAAACTTGTACCTAATAAAGACTGCTATAGTTTCGCCAGTTCACTCGCAAGAGATAGTTGCTAGAAACAGACATTATTTGATATCTCTAAACATCGAATGCTTTAAGGCGTCAATTTTAGGAACTAAAATTTCCCATTTTTCTGCCTTAACTAAACGTAGATACTGGTCGACAACAGCTGTGTTCTGGTTTATTGTTATCACTGTCGTCGAGATATATCTTGGATCACCGTAATTTCATTTGTAGAGATAAAACAGGGGTAAGAAATCAAATTTGTAACTCATATTCTTTAAATATCAAATTTACTTCAGAGAAATAACAAATTGGCCATGAGTGTCCCACAAGTAAGAGCCTTCGGGCACACCCAAGGAACTGAGTGCCGTTCGTAGCTCAACTGTACAGCAGCAGTGTGCGTACCAGGCACCCTCGAGGTATGTTGGTAGAAATCCACTTTCTCCCTTTCAGATCTAGGCGTCAAGTGGGCCCAAATAAAGGAGCCAAGCATTCAGTCCTTGCCGCCTGCAAAATGGTAATTTTCATCTCTCACTGGAAGCCAGGTCAGATCAGTAGGTGTACCTAACAGGGAGCGTCCTCCAAGTACAAGGTAGGCACACTGCTATGCCAGCATTCGAACTGGCGGACGCACTGATGTCACAGTCGACCAGGCAGGGACACTGTTGCTCACAGTCGACCTGGTTCACACACGTTTCTACTTGTCTATGTCTGCAGCCATGCTTTTCCTTGTGTGTACACAGTTGATTGTTCAATTTCTTTAAATTTCTTCGTTTTCAGGATGCTTTTCTTTTTACTTAAGGGAAAAGAGGAGCTGGATGGTTGGCCCGCACTAGAGCCCCAAATTCAGCAACACCTTTCAGATTTTCATCAAAACCCTTGATTGTAGTTTTGCAACGATCAAACCAGTCGGCTACATTTCTATGTTTTGAGAGGTCATATCCTACAACCTGAAATGAACGACCAATTTTGTTCTATCAGCTTTGAAAGGTAGATGAAATGTCAAAGAGGCAGTTTCATTGTTTCTTTTTTTTTTTACCTCAGCATTGCACAGAGTTGCAACATTTGCTATATCTGCCAGTGTAATTTTGTCTCCAACCAACCATGTTTTGTTCGACAGGGAAGTATCCAGTATATCAATCGCATCCACTACGCCTTTCTTTACATCATCAGGAACCGATGATGCTGTTCCGTAAATGAAGGGGACCTGCAAATTTTTTTGAAAAAACAATTATTCCAAAATCGTATTTTGGTTTGCAACCCACCTTCATAAGGTATTCATATCAATATTGTACAATTAGTGGTCACTATACTTACACAAAGTGCTCTGATTCGCTGGAAAAGAACAACAGCATCAAAGTACAATTGTTGGTCTACTGAAGCCCGTAGTTTTAAATCAAGCGGGTACAAGCCTGACTCTCGTCCATATTTTCCCACAAGATACGTTGAAATAGCATGACTGGTTATTGAGGAAAAGGGAAGAAAACCATACAATAAGTTAAAGTGAGACCACAAAAAAAGAAAAAAAATCCTGCTCAGATATATTTGTTACCTTTCCCACAAGTGAAATCCATCATCGGTTATTGTTGGTACAGAGTGTTGAGGGTTGATCTGTAAAAAGTGAAATGGGGTAATTAACAATTTGTGTGCGTGTGTGTGTGCTAGAGCATGCAGTGTTACAACTACAAAGACAATGTCTTTCACATGTGTATGTAATAAACGCAGATGTTCACAGAATGTGACTGGGCACTCACCTTCAAAAATTCTGGTTCATACTGCTCCTTCTTCAAAAGGTTCACGAGCTTTATGTTCACGTTAAGGCCAAGCATCCTGGCCGTCATGAGAGCAAATCGACAAGGTGCAGACGGGGGGAAATGGTAGAGCACAATAGAAGCCATGGTTGAATCAGGGAAACTGCGCGCGATTCCGTCCGGCTGTTGAGGTGTTGGACCTTCGATAAGACTGCAGTCAGCTGACTGTGATGCTTCCAAGCCACTCTCTCCTCGAGTAGCGACTGGACTGTCGAGGAGGGGAGATCCGGGCCACGGCGCGCCGCCCGCCGGCCTTCAAGGTCCATGACCCCCCTCTTTTCCGTCTCTTCGTATTCCCTGCAGCGATACCCCGCGGCACAGGTGCCGTTAGGCGGCGTCAGCGTGGCAACGTGGCGGAGGTGGCAAATGCGCGCGCTTTGGGCGCGCCGGCGCAGTTGTGGCGCGGGGAATTTGAACAGAGAGTTACCGCCGCTAGCTCAGCTCGTCGTCCGCAGAGATGCTTCACTGCTTAAAACTTCAATTCGTAACCGAGTGTTGCTCGACTGTCACTGCCACCGGGCACCGCCTCGGGAAGGGAGGCGAAGGTGGGAAAGACTTCCCTGCGCTAGAGAGAAGCGCCGCGGGTCGTTGCTTGCTTCTAGTTTAGGGGGTCCTCCTGAGACCCACCGCCTTAGAAACCCATGCAAAATATAAGGGGATAAAAACGTTCCCGACAGCTCAGGACCCCTTGCACCCCTCTAACTAAACGCAAGCGTTTGGCTTTTTGGCTTGGGGCGAGCGGGAGTGGCCTCCTGACTTGTCGTGTGAATAAGCTCCCCCTTCCCACAGACAGTTAAAAATAGTCAGTCGATCTGTCCCGCGGTGACTTGCCCAGTTTCTCATGACTCGTTTCGTCTCCATGCCCACGGAAAGAACGGGGAGAAGAGAGCCGAGCGACACGAAATGAAGCTGTTCCGGCGTTTTGGCGTTCTCGAGTCTGACAGGACTCTTCGCTGAGGGGTGGAAACGGCGCGCGGGAATTCCCCAATTCCCCAACCAGAAAGCGAGGAAACGCCGGTGGCCAAGCTCGACGTGGTCAACCTGTCCGACGAGCAGCACCCGGCCGAGGCAAAACCATGTCGACCGACCACGGTCCTGATCAACGGCCTCCGCCTAAAGGACACGGATGCGACGCGAAGAAGGGGCCCACTTGGTGAGTGTACTGTATACCGTGGTACTCGCCTACTGGCGGGGTTGCCTACCCTGTCGTGCACCGGCCGGGGTGCGCACCTGCTATCGCGGGGTTGCCTACCTAGGAGTCTCCTCTCCTCGCAGGGACGGCGAGGAGGTGTGCCGGGCCGGCGAGTGGTCCTTCACGCGCCGCCCGCTGCTGCACGTGAGCCACACGTGGGTGCTGGAGCGGCGCGCGCTGCTTGGCTGCGATTGGACGCTGCTCACCTCGCGCCGGTTCGGCTCGCGCCAGGACGACGACGTCACGTGGACCGTCAGCCTCGAGGTGGACAACAGCGGCTGCACCTCCGAGTCGCCGCTCCGCGCGGCGGACTCGGTAAGGGTAGGCAGGCGCGCGCGCGCACGCCTGTGCGCCGGTACAGTATGGCCAGTGGCTTGGCTCCCTGCAGGCCGTCCCTGCACAGCTTCGCAATGAGAAAAGAGACGCAGTGATTCTGTTAAACAGCAGGCATCATGTCCAACAGGCCCGGGTGTGCGTGGCGTTCGGAACGGCGGTGCTGCACAAGCGCGTGTTCCTGAGGGCGGCGCTGCGCGCGCAGGAGGAGGCCGTCCGGGCGGACGAGTCGGCGGCCGCCCTGGAGGTGCTGCGCGCGGCGAGGGACTACTGCGCCAACACGGCCGGGAGGTTCGTCGTCGTGCTCCTTGCGTGTGCCCACGGGCTGGACGCTGTGCACTCAATCAATAATAAGCGCTCCACCACAGGGACGGCATGACGCGGCTGGACCCCAACAGGCGCGAGTGCATCGGCACCCTCTACCTGGCCGAGTACGACACGACACCCGTCACCGTGAGGGTCGACATCGCCTACTTCTCTGACGTGGAGGTGGGGCGGGCGGCGGCGCACTTGGCGTTCGTGTGAGCAACGAGCGGTACTTGTCACGACAACGTGGTGCTGCAGGAGGCGCGACCCGGCCCTGCGGCCGAGTCGCTGTGCGTCCCGCCGTGCTCCCTGTCCGCGGACATGGAGGCCCTGCTCACGGAGGGTAGGCTGGCGGACGCGGTCCTGGTGGCCGACGGCCGGGAGTGGCGTGTGCACAAGGCCATCCTGGTGGCGCGGAGCCCCGTGTTCGCCGCCATGTTCGAGCACGACATGGCCGAAAGCAAGAGCAGCCGGGTGACCATCGGGGACGTGAGCGCGGATGTCCTGGACCAGGTGCTCAGGTGAGGATTGAGCGGGTGTTAGGGTGGTGCGGCAGGGAGACCACGAGCGCGCAACCTGATGCTCCGCTCTTGCAGGTACATGTACACCGGCAAGGTGGACCACATCCGCGTGCTCGGCGTGGACCTGCTGGCGGTGGCTGACCGGTACGCCCTGCCCCGCCTCAAGGCCCTGTGCGAGGAGGAGCTCGCGAGGAGCGTGTCCCACGACAACGCCCTGGACGTGCTCCTGACGGCCGACCTGCACTCTGCGAAGGAGCTTCGCTGCGCGGCGCTCCAGTGCGTTTGCTCCAACATCCACAAGGTGCTGGGCTCTGACGCCTGGAAGGAGTTGGTCCGACTGAGGCCGCATCTGCTGCACCAGGTGCTTGCCATGTGCGTCAACTATCCTATTCCCGACTGATGTCCTCTTGAAGCAGTACGTAGGTACCGGTATCGAAGGTGTTTTCTAGATCATTAAATTATTCACATGAGAAAAAACTTGACACATCTCATTTCATACTCAAAAAATTTATTGAGTGAGGGATGATTACCCATTTTAAATTGACTTGCATGTACAAAATATGTGCACGATTGAATAAAAGCCTTAGAAGCAAAATGTATATGATTTTTCGATTCCTTAGTTTAATTATTTTAATGGTGTAAAGCTGTTTAAAAACAATATCATCTAATTAACATAGGATAGAAACTGGTGTGGTAACAAGATGTATGGTGAAATACGTTGTATATTGCTAAAATACGTTGTATATTGCTAAAATATGTCTTTAAAAATGTCAAGTTAGGGTACCCATACCCTGCTCCTCTTAAAACAGTCCATAGGTATTACATTAATTGTATCAGGCTGTATAAATATCCTAACAGTCCTCAATACTACTGACAAAGATATAACTAGATGGAATAAGTTCTTGAGAGTAAAGGAGAAATTGATTAACACTATAGCATATTTTCCTCTGATGATTTAACATAGTACCCATTCACACCAGGACACAATATGTTATCATTTGA